TTTGACAAGAAAATGAACTTCAAAATACTAACTATTAAGATCTGTCTTTATCTTCTCTTTAACAATGTCTGGATAATATTTATTTTTCAAAGTCTTATTCAAACACCACCAAGTAATTAACTTATCTCAATATAATAATGATATGGTTGAAAAAACATGATTTTTATAGTACATTTTATTAGACATTATTTATTGAGACGTGTACTATATATATAATATACGATTATTAAGATTAATTAGTCATTTTGGGAAAAAAAAAATCATATTTGGGATTATTAGAATAAGTCTAAAAAATGTCATGATAAACATCTCAATTTTTAGTGAATTACTCTAATTAAAAGCTCATACATTCATGCAACAAAAAAACCAATAGTTTAACTTGATTCATTTCTAATTTCAATGGGTGCAACACACATATGTTTGCAAATTATTGAAGAGGTGGCATTATTCAAGTATTTTTTTGTCTATCAAATCTTCAAGTGAAAGGTAAATTATCAGAGGGTGGGAACAGATTTACTTGTCTAACGGTAATTGAATCTTTAGGAGTGAAAGACAACGATCAAACAATTAAGATGAATTTGTATGGACAACACACGTCATTCACTTATTGTCAATTTAAATGCCTATAAATATAGACTACCCTCTCTGAACACTCTCCCTTTTCTCCGCCCCTTTGTTATCATTATTATGCTAAAGTTCCTACAATTCTCTCGAAGAATTTTGTTCATATTTGGTTCGTCTATCAAGGTTAGTATGGTGTTGAATGAACCTAAAAAATAGTGTATTTTGAGAGACATTCTATTATACTGAATATTTAGTGGCAAAATGTAAGAAATTTTGTATCCTGCATTTCTTATTTTTTAAATTTTATACTTTTCTATTTTTTTCTTCAATTGATGTGTTATGCGGCTCTTTTTGTATTTTTTATATTACTTATCTATTACATATATACACCATATGTATTTTTTATACTATCTATATATTTTACGTATGATATATGTCGTATACTAGTTACAGATTATATATAAGCATAGTATGCAAGCTTTCATATGTTATAATTAGATCGATTTAAAATTTAAAATTGGGTTTAAAAGACTCCAAACACGTGGACTAAATTGAAGCATCTCTGTGTTCAAGAATAATTTTTACAACTTTGTTTATAAATTCATGAGAGTAAGAATCCGATCAGATAAGATAAAGATAAAAACAAACAAAACTACACATCTAAGTAGGATAAAATAGGCTTAAATCTTATTTTTATTTAAAATTTAAAATATTATATTTTAATTCTTAAACTTAAAATATTATTTTACTTATGGTAATTAAATTTTAGTATCGATCGGATTGGACATTTTTATGTTTGGCTATCTATATAATTTAGGAGGTCATTAATATGACATGCCTTTATTCAATTATTCAATAAATATTTAATTGTCTATACAAAGAAGAAGTATTTATTTAGAGTAGGCAAAATGTCGGGTTCCATTTCCATAACGGATCCGAATTTCTATCAAAATTATATGAACAAAATATCAACAAGAAGAACTAAAAACAACCTTTCTTCGAATAAGAAATTTAATTGCTTTGAACCCCAAATAAAATTTAGACCAATAAATGATTACCAAAAAACTAGAACAGCCAAAAAAAAAACATTAGTTATGAAAAAAGAAATTTGTGGCTCCTGTGCAAAACAGATAGAAATTGAAGGGTTATGGAAAATTATGATTTGGAAAAAAAAAAAAAGAAAAAGAAATTTGGTGTGTCCCACCAAACCCAATTGAGTTGGAGCAGATTCCTATGCCCTTTTTCCTCACTTTTCTTTTTTCTTCTTTTTTTTTCTTTTCACCAAAATTTCTAATTTGTTCCTCAATTTTCTCGCATTTTCCATCGTTTTCTCTTCTATAAATTCACCCCTTCTCCGTCTTCCCCAACCTCCGCCGCTCTTTCTCTCTCCGCTCTGAATCTGCTTCTTCACCGCCGGATTTCCGCCGTTTTCTCGGAAATCGTCCCCTTCTCCGCCGCTCCATCCTTTTAGATGCTTAATCTCTTGTTCTTGATGTTTGAGATAATTCATGTCTCCGATTCTTAGTGAAATTCTCCGTTCTGGTTTTATGATCAATTCCTCTCTCCGGCGCCGCACGCATCTGGTTCAATCTTTCTCCGTCGTCTTCCTCTACTGGTTCTACGTGTTTTCATGAACTTCCCTCATCCCTCTGCCTCAGATTATCAAGATTGCCAGATCGATTATCGATTCCGAGATTATTAATTTCGTTTTCGTTGTTGTCGTCGTTTTCGATTTAGTTTTTTTCTGTTTCTGCCGTAGATAAGATATTCTGTAATCTATAATCTGTAGTCTGTGTTGTGCTGCTGTAAATATTTGTAATACTATTTATTGTCGATCTCCATGGCTTCTTCAAGCGGAAATTCCTCTGGTTCGACCCGGCTTCAGAACTCAGGTTCCGAAGAGGATTTGCAGGTTCTGATGGATCAGAGAAAACGGAAAAGAATGCAATCGAATCGCGAATCGGCGAGGCGATCTCGGATGAGGAAGCAACAGCATCTGGACGAATTGATGGCGCAAGTGACTCAATTAAGGAAGGAAAACGCTCAGATTCATTCCAATATAAACATTACATCGCAACTTTATATGAACATCGAGGCCGAGAACTCGGTTCTGAGAGCTCAAATGGCGGAGCTGACGCAGAGATTGCAGTCGCTCGAGGAGATCGGTGATTGCATAAACTCCAATGGTGGATTTGGAGAAGCAGATCAAGAAGAGGTGTTTCAGATTCAGACAAATGCGGCTGCCGATTGCTTCATGAACCCGTTGAATCTCCTGTACGTTAACCAGCCGATCATTGCCGCTGCCGATATCTTCCATTATTGAATTCTGAAGCTTAATTTCTTGATCTCTATGTGTTGAAAATTGGGATCGATCTTCTGGCCAGATCTTCTTAGGTTATTATTGGAACGATGTTGATCAGATTCGGATGTGTAAAAGGACGTAGAAATGGGGTAATAGTTGAAATTATTTTTGTAAAAGGGGCCATTTGTGCAAATCACATCAAAGCCATTATTCCTCTTTAATTATTGTTTATGCATCTAAACTTATATTTATAAATTCTTAATTTTCTCCTCTCACTCCTTTTTTTTTTTTTTTCTTTTTTAGTATGTAATATTTTATGGGAGGTTACTAATTTTCATATTAGATGATTTTAAAATCACTTTTTAGATCATGAAGATATTTCCATATAAAATGTACGTGAATGGTATTATATTTAAAATGGTAATATTATTAATTTATGAATCTTAGTGTAAATAAGCATACTCTTAGGTAAGTTAGGGCGATGTTGTCTTTATTTTGATTTCATGAAATTAGTGTGAAGGGCAATTTTTTATAAAACAAAATATTAATGAAATATGCTTTAAAAATTTGTAAGGTTTAAGAATAAAATTTAAAAAAAGACTTCGAGTTTATGAGGAAAAATTCTAATTTATTTTATTAAAAATAAAAATTCATGTATATAGTAGACTGATTATAACATGCTTAATAATTTCAATTTATAATATAATAAATAAAATAACATGATGAATAGATATTATTCGAATCCTCCACCCTCCATATTAAAATGACATGTTAATAAGGATAAATGAACTCTTCTTATATTTTGGTTATCAATCATGGTTAAATTATTACTTCAAAAAAAAAAATTATGGTTACACTGTAGCTATGGAAAAATCTCCTATTTTTACTATTTACAAACAAATTGATAAAAAAAAAAAGAAAAACTATTTGCAAACAAAAAGGACTATATTAAGTATCTGATATGAAAGAATGATATCTATAGAAGTGTACCTGGGATCRGATCGTTGAGCTATTTAACTTGAGTTTAGGAAGTCGTGCAATGATGAACAACCAGTGTATGTCGGGAGATGATCTTATAAGAGGTGGGGACATGCTTATAATAGTTTTCTTAAATTGATACGATTTAGTTAAGTGTATTTACCAATTGTTATGAGTAATTATTGTCACTTAAAATCGATTATGAAGAGTTAATTCAAATATGATGGGTAAAATTTATCCTTCGCCATATTTATATGTTAATTATTATTGTGAACAAAAAAAAGCGAAATAATGATAATAATATATTTTAACTTATAAAGTCTTTGACACAATGGTGTACGTCTCTTAGGATGGATTCGAATTCCTACAACTTATATGTTGTATTAAAAAATAATAATAATAATAATAAAATAAATAAATAATATAATATTTATTTATTAGTACTTTGGAGCTTTTTTTTCTTCCAAAGAACTTTTTAGCATTTTCCAAGGGATGTAGAAGTGCTTTTGGTTGGTTATGGAGAGCTTTTTGATAAATGATTGGTGAACAATATTACTTATAATTTGGATAATTTGGCCAATTTTTTTTGAAAGAAAGGGACATGTTGCTTCCCACTCAAACCACATGCATATGGTTGGTTGGGGTTCAAATTTGGCTTTTCATTTCCAACCACCTTTCAATYCTTTTTTTTTTTTTTTTATATATTTAGTGTTTTTTCTAATAAACATTTCACTTAGTATTTTGGCAATAATTATTAATGGTGGATAGTAAATAGAAGCAAAATTCAATGTTAAATAATATAATTTGACTTTTTTTCTAATTCACATAGACTAATTAATTTTTTTGAACAAATAAACATTGCATTAAATAGAAATAATACCCCTAAGGGTTACATATGAAGAGTGGTGACCACACATCACCATCACAATCCACGAAGGAAAACAATTGTTCCAAAGAACATAGAAACGATAAAAAATGGCAAAATTGGTCAATAAAACAGTCTATTCAAAGAACTAGGAATATTAACAAATTTTAGCCAATTGAACACCTTCTCAAAAGTCATCGGGGGAGAACCTTCAATTAATTGAGGTATCTTGTCAATTATGACACCCCTATTCACAATTGGAAGGAAAATAATTACCTCCAAAATTGTCTTATATTCTCCACCATGACAAGTAAGGAAGGATTAGACAAATTTCCTAAATAATGCTAGTCACAAATCTTAATACAATTAAGATTGATAGCCTCCCTAGATTCCAAAATTGTTTGAATTGATTGCTGTTGCACCTCCTTCGTTGCCCACATGCTGCTTCGTCTTCCTTGCCCTTGGACCATGGAAGTTCTCTAAACCAAGATGAAACGAAGATGAAGAGTCATCCCAAGAGATTGCAAGCAGGTGTCTTCTCCAATTCTGTGCCTGATAACTCCTCAAAATACCCAAATGACTAAGCCACGGACCATACATAACAATGTTGGTTTTGATTTTGTCAGTCATAACAACATGGTCAACATCTAACGGGGAGATCCCCAACATCCAACCACCGTCCACCATCCACCATCACAAAAACCAACGGGGAAGAAAGATCATACTCGAAATTAAATCACCTCCACAATAGCAAAAGATGTCTCTATTATATTTAGATCCATACTACTTACTTCTAGAGAAAAAAAAATCACAGAAGAACTGGAACAAAGTAGAGAGAAAACACCTCTGATAAAACTCGGTCAAAAAAAATCACAGAAGAACTGAAACAAAGTAGAGAGAAAATACCACTGATAAAACTCGGTCAAAGGACGGAGAGAAAACACTTACTTTTCACCAGAAGGAGAAAAATAAGAGGGGAATAGGCCGCTATTGGGCGGGTGAGAGGGGGCTTGGGAGGAGGAGGAAGAAAGCGAATTTAACTTAATTCACGGAGACTAAATAAATACGTTGCTTGAGTACATAGATTAAATTTATAACCTAGCATAGATTAAATTATAAAGATCTCTTTTGAGGAAAAATATCCTAAAGATGGGAAGTAATTAATTTTATATAATCAACCTTAATTTTTAATTTGATTCTTTATATGAAAAATTAAGAATAATTGTTTGACATATTAAAATTATCTTTTCCAACATTTAGAAAAAACCATAGCATTTCAAGAATAAGAATTTAATCGTTCTGACTTATAAAAAATGTTACTAATACATTAACTATTATACTACATTAAGATTGTCAAAAGAGCAGCATAGCTCAGTGGTAATTGACATGTACCTCCAACTAAGTGGCTTACTTTACAGGCCGAAAATCAGAAAAGAGGTCTTGAAGATTTTGCGGATCCCGTTGGCTAGTTTGTTGTTGTTTTGGCATGCTTGAAGATGTTTGGCAGTAGGATCTTGGTATGGGTCGACTAGTCATAAGTGGATATGTTGTTAGCTCTACCGGAGGACAAAACTATACCAGGGTCGGACAACATCGAAAGTAGAAAAGATGAATAGGATTATTCCTACCTTCAGTATTACTTGTAGATGGTTGCGAATTCGTTCTTTCATCCCAGGCAAAAATATTTTTGTTGTATGATTCCACATAAAGATTCTTCATGATGCTAACAATATTGATTAAGAAAAAAGCTGAAAGAAAATATTATCAGAGAAAATGTTAGATCTGTCTAATCCATCCTTGTTTAATTCATATTTAAAGTTTAAAATTTTAAGTGGCCCGTGATTAATTGGGATTAATTCAATTAAGAGCTACAACAAAACAAATTACAAGAATAGGATTATTTATATATAATAAGGAATTTATAATAATGTTACTTGGTTTGTGACCTTACAAATGTTTACATCGACACCTATTTTTTTTATTATTTCAGTTTATAAAAATGGTTGATTAATTTATATTTATATATCTTTATTTATATTTTCTATTAGTATTAATGGTGGATTAATGGTTTATTAAAGATTGTTTATTTGGTTTGGTCCTACCAAACATCTTTCTATAAATTTAACTTTTATGTTGACGAATTTGTTGTACAAAATTCTAATGACATATTTGTTTGGTGGCTCCCTCGAAAGAGATTTAGAACTTTGAATATAATATATGTAAGAGTGAGCAAAAAATTTTGCTCCTTACCCTCTCATCTCATCCCAATGTTTATACGAGTGAATGTTGTTGGGAGAGTACGAAATAGATCAATTGAAGATGTAATGATTACACTTAAATGAAAGTTATAGTATTCTCATTATTTGAGCTAATTCAAAAGCATTGGAATTAGCTCGATGCTTGCATTAGCCATTGAGGTACTTGGGAGAGCCTTCCATCCCTGTGGAGGTGGGTCTAAATTGCATTAGTCAGAAGGTTCGTTTCGCTACCGTCATAAAGTTCAACTAATCATTTGGTTTTCTTTAACAAAATTTCACGGAAATGATAAGACACGAAGTTAGTGAAATTTGAGTGTAACTATGCCTCGATCGAGATGAGTTGTTAAAAGAGATTCTTTGACTAATTAAAGCCTAAAAAATTCTCGATTTGTAAGCGTAGAAAGAAAATAAATTGCATGTGAATTGATGCTTAGACAAAGTGGTATTACTTAGTCATTTGATCAACAATAACAACAAAAGTTTGGGACAAATGGATCAAGAGAAATTTTTTTCGATTGAAATCTGTGGAAAGGATGAGAGAGTAAGTAGAAATGTTCGAGATCACATAGAAGGCGATTGTCCCATGAAATTAGTCGAACTTCGCATAAGTTAACCCGAATATTCATGGATATATATAAAATAAATGGAAAAAAATGCTTCCACATCATTGTTGATTCAACCAGACAAGAAGTAGAAAGTTATGTTAGATTATTTATTTATATTTTTAAAGACAAGATGAGGTTTCTTTGTGAGAAGCAATTCAAAATAAATTATTGAATATTAAACTACTCACTAAAATAAATGATTGCATATCAAACTACTTACTAACACTTCACAAATTTAATTATGTTTATGTGATTCTTAGAGTAGAAAATACTTATTTGATTGGTTACCAAATATTTGATTTGTTTTTCTATATTATGACTCAATATTTTATTAAGGTTCAATTACAATAACCATGTAAATAAGTAGTATTTATTTGTTGGTAAATTGACGCTTTACCAACTTTCTTTTTAATATAACTTCTTTCCCTGAAAAACGATTTCTTAATCAAATGATCGATGTGGTGATTTGTAAAAAATTAATTAAAAAGCTATATAATCTATTTTATTTTCAATCAAGATTCCCATCTAATTCATAGTTTATGACATGAAAATGAAATTATAAATATAAGAATGAAATTTATTCGGCAACGAAAGAATTTTATTACAATATGTGGGAGTGGGGGATCGAACTCACCCTCTGTAAATTAGAGATATACACAAATTACCGTTGAGTTATAAATAAGCTAATTAAAATTTAAAAAGAAAAACTAAAACAAAACTTTCAAATATGAGGAACTAAATTATAAATAAGGATAAACTCAAGAAAACGAAAACTACATTTTAAAGTTAAAATTATGCTTGAGGATTCAAGCCTAGCTAATCAGATACTTATCTTGTATAAAAAATGGCAAGTTTGAATCTTCACCCTTACATTTATTAAAAAAAAGTTAAAATTAGGTCTAAAACTTAATTACGGTCCTACACTTTTGAAATATTAATTTTAGCCTGTGTATACTTTGAAAAAAAAAATCATTTTTGTCATTGTCATTATTCTGTCAATTGTTGAATAGATTGACATGAGTATATGTTAAAGTCACATAGATGGGTAGAAGTATTGATATAAGTATCCACTGAGACAGATATTTCAATAGGTAAAGAAAAAATAGCCTATATATGGTCTCTTTTGTTTTCTTTTATTTATTTATTATTTTTTTTATTATTTTGAGAATAGCATATACACATATTTACATCAACAAATTACTACACGTATGTCATGTATAAGTACAATTCATACATTAAAAAGTTAAGAGCATAGTTTAATATAAGTTTAAATATTCTTCTAGTCCATATATTTTCAATTTTTATTTATTTCAAACATCGTATTTTCATAATATCTGTATTGGTCCACATTTTTGAAAAAAGAACCATTATAGTCTCTATTTTCAAAATTTTAACACATACGTTATACACAACGAAAATCCTATAGTATAAATTTATGGCTACATTTAAAGAAATTTAGTGTCATACTACCATTTTAATAATAAAAAAAGTGAGATAAAAATGAAAACGAATTGACCAAAATAACCACTTTTTAAAAAAGTATAGAATTCAAAATAAATCAAAATCAAAACTACAGAATAATTAAGCCTTAATATATTAAGAAAAAAAAGGAAATATTATGTTGAATGAGATCTAAATGAAAAGAGAATATAATGGTCAGAAAATGCAGAGAGGGCAGTTAGTCGGTGGCTTTTTGGTGAGAGTAAAGGTCGTTTTTTTTTTTTTGGAGACAAAAAGGATTCAAAACTGCTTCTCTTTTCAGACCTCCCATGAGCTAAAACTGTGGTCTGGTCTCTCCCAATTTAATGTTAATCTTATGTTAATTTAACCTTAAATTGTACTTCTAATATTCTGTCACTCTCATTTTTTTTTATGGTTTTTTTTGCAGCTTTCTGTCGGTTTATGTTCATTTTGGTTTTGTAAAAGTATCCTCAATTAGCTTTGAAATTGATCTGACATGATGCAACCATTTATATATTTTAAGCTTTGTCTTTGAGATTAATGTATTGGGTCGTTTGTTTTAGTGTTTCAACTTCAAAAGATTGAATTGTAAATCCAACTTTGAATAATTATTTTATTTAGTTTATTCATTAACATCATAATCTTATGATTTCTCTTTTCTCTATTCTAACGTCTGTACTATCAAAACGTCTATTTTGATCTTTTCATTTTTCTGACCATAATTCTAATATGACACCACACTCAATAAATTTCTTGAAATTTAGTGATAAATTTATATTAGGGTTTTCATCTTGTATAAAATTTATGTTAAAATTTTGTAAATAGAAACTAAAGTTGTCACTTTTAAAAAATACAAAAATTGAAAGATAGACGTTTTGAAATTACATAGACTAAAATGAACAAAAGTAGATGGTAAAGAGACCGAACCGCAAGACCGTTTATGTCCAATTTATTCAAGAAGAAGAATAGTGTACAACCAAAGACTGAAATTCATGCCTTGTGATGGTAAAGCTGCTAAGCTTATCCTTTTACTGATATGCTTGATTTTATGGGCAGGGTTCACACGAAGCCAAGCAACCAAGGTTTAAGCATTTTTATTTACTAAATTTATAAGGGGCTCTCTCTGCTATCTTTTTCTTCGATTATTAAATTGATCGTTAGAAAATATTAGGTAGAGTACTGCATCGGTACCGAGAACTACTTAAAAGATAGGTGACCCAAAAACTATATCTAGCCAAAAAAAAAAAGAACTATTTAATACTAAATTGTTTATAATTTAATGGAGACTTCACCAATGAAATGTGACAACAATAATGGCAAGACTAGACTTCATGTCGTTCTGTTATCAAAAGGGCCAAGCCCAAATGAAATAAAGAGCATGGGGTAGAACGTCATGTCGTTCTACAAGAAAATGGGCCAAGCCCAAATAAAGAGTAGAGAATTTTAGAAAAATGTCAGAAGTGGGATTTGAACCCACGCCATCTCACGAGGACCAAAACTTAAGTCTGGCGCCTTAGACCACTCGGCCATCCTGACTTTGATGTTCATTTCTTAGCAAATTATTTATACAATCCATTTGTTTTTATCATGCTTAAATCATTCTTTATTAACATTGAAATAGGATTGAAGGTGGAAGATGGAGAGAGTTTATGCATCCAATCAAAATTGATTTATGGAGAAATCCCAACTAATTAAGCAAACATAGAAACAAGAAGAGAATTAATTCATGGTCCACAAATTTTGGAGGTGTCTCTATTCATCTTCCATTTGATCAATAATGCTTTTCAATCCAGATTTATAACTGGGATACTCGAGACTCACTCCCAGCTCCCTTTTCATACGCACATTACACACTCTTTTATCACCCCTTCCACTCCCATTGCTAACAACATTTGCCTCCACCTGCTTCCGCAACCCTTCAATTTTACTCGGCCACTTTTTCTCGACCAAGTCCCGAGCGTATGAGAATACTTCTTCCCTTGGGGCTGGATCGTCGTCAACTATGTTGTATACTCTCCTGCAAAACCACGCGTAATGTGGAAGTCCTTATTCATCTACCAGTTTCTGCTCCATCCCTCTGTAACGACATAATGCTGTTATACTGATATAATGTTGTGTTACCTGGAAGAAGGGTTTTGAATGCTGGCGTTAAGAGCTTGGCAGATGTCATAAACATGAACTCTGGATGTGTATCGTCTGCGTGTTCTACGTTGTTGGAGCTCGGATAAGGACCTCTTCTTGATTATTGTATCAATAGCACTGTGATGGAACCAAAATCTTTGAGAAAAACTATGATTTGTAACATTATGCACTAGGATATGGACCTTGATGAAAATCACCAGAATGAAAAAGGTATGGTATGGATTTGAAGTTGAATGCAAATGAATGACAAAAGAAGAATAATGGAATGTGGAAGCATTGCTGTTTTTTTGACGAAAATATCGAGAGGAAAGGACGTCACGACCTTCTACCAGGACCATAGATACCTCCGAGCCGAAATACTTGAGCTGAGAGGCCAAGATCACTACCCAAATTTAACCATCTCTCCTCTGCTTCGATCCTCGACTTGCCCGACTGACTTGAGGGGTTAGCCGGGTTACTACCACAGAGTAATTTACTCGTTTAATACCGGAATCAAGTAATAGTGGTTATCATACCTGAGTAAGTAACGAAAATCACTTACTCTTCATCTACCCAAGCACCACCATAATCTCCATAAACACCTGACACCAAGAAGAAACTCTAATCATAGTCAATAAGGAAAACACAAATTTCTTTGAACAATGGTCTATGTGCTAAAGGAAGAAGAAGGTACGGGTATCCCTTGGAATCACAAATGCTAAGGCTTAGCAGCCACTGGCAACTAAATACATCCTGCAGCAGAGGAACCGGTTTCGCGGAAGGAATAAGATGAAAAGGGACCATAAGCAAGACTGCAAGAGGGAAGGCTCTAATCATATCTAAGGTTATGTCCTAGTAAAACCCTTATACGAGAGAAAGAGAGGCGAAAGGGGACCGAGAGAGAGAGCAGTTAAAATATTTTCTCACATATTTGCCAGACCTAAGTTCTTCGCCGTTTAAATGCATGTATGACAGCAGAAAATGCTTGCCTATTTACATGACAACAAACACATACTTGTCGATGACAAATAGCAAAGCCATYGAAGGTCGCCATCCTGTAAAGTAGCCCTTAAAAGTTCTTCATGCTGGAGCAGCTGCAAAAACAACGCAGGAACAGCAAGAAATCACATGAGATAATCAATTTAATGAGTATTACATGCAGGACAATTGTGGCGACATTTTTTTGCAATTAATCTAGGGCATTTCCAATTACAACAGCTGAGAAATCCCTTTAAAAAGCTTCAAAAATCTCCACTTAGACCCTAAATTAATCCCAACAAAAGTTTCTACCACTTCCTCCATCAGTACTCAAAAGAAAATAGAAAACTCTTATGGCATACAGGATCACCAACAGCGACATCTGGTGGAATGGAAACAAGAAGGTGAGTGTGATGCTGCATTGCTCTTAAAGTGCTCTGCCTACCAAAAAACCAACGACAGTTAACTAAAAGAAACACCAGAAATGAAAATTTCATATTCTAAATGCATAAACTTCCAGACAAACAAGACACGGGTTTTGAGCAGATCGTTGAGTATACTAAAGATCGTCACAGCAGAAAAGCTTACAGAGTTCATACAACAATTTTTAATTTAGTGCTATAAGAACTACATGATTGTTTCTCTATCTATTTTGCATTTGTAAGAAACTATATAACAACATATCGGCCTGGAGCTTGAAGCCGAGCTCATGGCATATGGTGTGGACTTTGGTTATGGCACCATCCGAACAAGATTCCCGTGCCTCAGCGTCAATTTTGTTTACATTTAGTACTCCTCGTGAGCTAGAAATGCTATCATAAAAATGTAATGTAAGGAAAGCACACATTTAACTTTTCTTGGCTCTGAGAAGTAAACTTACTCTGGATCATTTGCATCAAAAACATAAACATCAAAACCCCTTCCCTCCAGTTCCATCTTCTTCCCAGGGTTTCTGCAAGTCCCAGAAACAGCCCTAATGATCAAGCCCCATTACATTAACTTCACAGCTATAATTCTTGAACAGAATCTCAAATTCTCAATGGTGAATGAGCTTTACACGACATGAAGCAACCATCAGATGTCTAAGGATACAGCAAGTAAACTTGGGGAATCGATACGATACATATTCCAAATCTATAAGACATTACATAGAGGCTCTCTAAACATGAAACAATAGTAAGTGCAGAGATTTTACCATCCTTGGTTCTTTAGCTCTTGCGCGAAGAACTGGCCGACGAACCCTATGCCTAAAATAAACATGCGATTCTGGAATTTCCGTAGCGACGGTGTCGATTCTGTATTTGAACTCTTCAAGGCCGCCGGACAGCAGGAATGCGGCGGCGATTTGGGTCTAAGGAAACCACAATTCTCAGAAATGCCGATGCCTTTGGGAGTAATCGCAGGATGATTCAAACACAGTACATCCATTACCGCAACGTTGAACCAAAGTAAGCGTAGTTCGTCGTACCCGCGAAACTCCTGAAGTGATTTTCAACGCTACTACTACTGCTAATATTTGATTTGTCAAAATGAAAACTTTACGATTCATTTAGAACCCCTTTTTTGATTGCATTGAGAAACATACAGATTAACATCAAGTTGGGGATTCTATATAGTTTTGTTAGTGATTCTACAATGCAAAATAGTTTTGTCAGCAACTGTACATAGTTTTTGCTTTTCTTTTTTCTTTTCTCAAATAAAATTCGCATATATTCTCTCACTAGTTTCTCTCTACAAATTTACCAATTGTCTTGTAAAAGAAAAAAAAAATCGGGCTAATCTTTCTTTTTATATATTTCTCTCATTAATTTGATTTTATATGCATTTTCTTACTAACTTCTCCTCGTGGACGTCTTTTTATTGACTTTTCTAACGTATACACACCCTCACTAATTTATTACTTGATCAACATCCTTTTAAAATCTAATTTATTTTCCAATCAGAGCACATATTAATAGATATAATACCAACTACTATATCAAAAGTTCATGATCTTCCATCCCATAATTGAATTTGTTGAATTTAATACATAAGTAATTTGAAAGATAAAAAGATACTATAAACCGAACACACATCAAATGGAGCTTAAAGAGTAGAGTTTCGTCTTTACAAAGCAATGAATAAAAATAGTGTAGCTAAAATTGATTGTCGTAGATTCAAACTATCTATATGTAGAATTAGGTGCAAGAAATTTGCAAAATTTTAGACTAGCAATGAAGACATTATATATATATATTTCAAAGGACATTTAATTTAAGTGCACTATTAATACTCACCACCGGTGGTGGTTACTGGTTATGAAGTAATGACCTAACCTCCATCCTTCCTCCCCATAAACAAACTACTGACTATCAAATTTAGTAATTCCCAAGTATTAATAACTTTTTGGTTTCAAAAATGGATTTTAATGTCTATACTTTCGATTTTGGATTCATATACTTTCCAATCGTTTATTTTAACTTTCGTACTTTCAATTTTTATTTATTTCAATCTTTGTACTTTTAAAAAGTGACCAATTTAATTCATATTTGCAAAATTTTAACACAATTTTTTTGCCTAATAAAAATCATTTAATGTAAATTTATGACTATATTTCAAAAAAAATTGTGAATGAAGTGAAGTGTTAAAATCATAGTTGAAATAAATAGATCAAAATTGTCATAAAAAAGATCCAAATAAACGTTTTGAAAGTAAAAAATTTAAATAAACAAAAGTCGAAAGTAAATGAATGAAAATAGATGCTTTAAAATTACAATAACCAAAATTAATCAAAGTCACCTAACTTTTTTCTAGCATTGATTCCGAGTTTTCTTTCTAGTGAATTCGAACATATTTAATAGATGGGATATTTATTACATTCAAAGATTTCAACCTCTCACCCTTCGTTAGTTGAACTCAAAACAAACCCAAGAAAAGTTACCTCTTTTCGAAACCCAAGAAAGGGTTTCCATCTCTCAGCCTACATTAACATTAGTTCTGTATAAAATATTTCTTTAATGTATTATTGGGGTATCACCCGTAGTCATCTTTCTTATTGAGTTGTATATGCCTCTAAAATATTTTGTATCTTATTTAAAAAAAAAAGGTCATTTTGTATCTTATATAATAAGATTGCAAAATCCGTTCTAAAATATTTTTCAATGTGATGAGCTAACTAGACGCTAATATCAACGGTCACAATTACACCCGACAAGGCTCACAAAGCAATTGTGCGGCGCTTTCCAAAGTAGTTACATGATTACATCACAGTACCAAAAAAATTTTCCATCATAGAGCTACAAACAAGTGGTCCTACTTGCACCAAAAATCAACTTTTGAATTCAATGATACCCAAATGAAAAAGAAAAACATTAATTGGTCTGTTATTCACAAAAATCAGCTCGACAATATTAACGTCTTCGATCCCTCCCATTCATTCTTCCAAAAATGTTCTTCTTCTGAAACCTCTGCTTCTCGGAGCTGAGCTGCCATGGCGGTTTCCGGGAGTCGAGATCCCGACGTAGTAAATGTCGTCGCTTTGGGGGTGATATCGTGGACAACGGCTTTCGTTTTGGTCAGAAAACTCCTCCGGAACCGATCTTTTGAGCTCTGCAACCGTGTGGTCTCCACTCTCCATGCTGCCTTGGCCGTCACGTTGGCTTCCCTCTCTGTCCAAGATTTGCGATGCCCCATTTGTCCTCTCGCTTCCCAATCCTCACCATTTCAGGTAAATTCAACTTAAATCTCAGTATCCATTGGATAACTATTTTATTTTTAGTTTTTTTTTTCCTTTTGTAACATAAGAGCAAAAGTAATGTTTCTGTGTTTAATTTTAAAAAATAGAAAATTAAAATTGATACGGTTATCAAAAGAAACTTACATTGTTAAATGGGTGGATGTGTTAGCCAGATGCAAATATTGGGGGTGAGCTGTTCTTATTTGATATATGATATGGTGTGTTGCCACTTTGACAAAAGAGTGAGTGTGGACAATACCATCCATCATTTGATTAGCATCGTGGGTATTGCAGCAGGCTTAGCTTATCAAAAGGTAAATTCATTTTACTCCAATAAAATTTCTAGTACTATTGGAATAGCTGTTCGAGTGTCCATGCTCTCGTAGTACCATAAATTAACCTTGTGGTTTACTGTTGATTATATTTATAATTTGTTAGCGGATATTTTTGGAATATTTAATTTTAATTATGATAAATTAATAAATATGTATGTAGTGTGGGTCAGAGATGGTAGCAGCATTGTTGATAACAGAGATCTCAAGCCCCTTTCTCCATTTGAGGGAAATTCTCAAAGAAATTGGTTACAGAAATACTGAACTTAATTTTGCAGCTGATGTAAGTCACCCTTTTATTTTTCCTAATACTATTTTGGTCCAACACTTTCTGTTTAAGTCTATATATTTTCAAAACGTCTATTTTGACTCTTGAAATGTTCAACTTGGTCAACGTATTTGCGGCCGTTTTGGTTCTTTCATTTTATTTTTTTATCTAATTTTTTTAAATTACAATTTCAATAGACACCACATCCAATAAATTTTTTGAAATGTAATATAACTTTGTATTAAAGGGTTTTCATTGCTTTTGGAATGTGTGAAAATTTTAAACATGGATCAAAATAATCAATCGCATTTTAAGATTACAAGGATCAAAACGGACATATTTAAAGTACAATATCAAAGAGTTAATGTTACATTGACATTGTTTATGAACAAATTGAAAAGGATTTGATTTTTTAGCAAAGTAAAATTAGTTTGAAAGAATAGAAGGCTCCAAAAGCCCATTAATCATAATTGATATGAGATTATGACATGAATTTGAAAGTTAAAAGCTGATTGTATTGACAGATTGCGTTTGCAGTGATCTTCTCATTCGCAAGAATGGTTGGAGGGCCTTATCTCACCTACCTTACTTTATCCTCTAACGTCCCTCTTCTTATTAAGGTAATCTTTTCAAACTTCGAATCTCATGGAATGTCGATATGGTTAMCAAAGACATTTCTTTTTCTTTTTTCTTTTTCAATAAAAAAGAAAAGAATAAGAAATAGTTGCTTTTCTTTATTGAAAAAAGGAGACTAAACCAGTAATAAAAATGTTACCCAATGCATCCTAATTTTTCCAACGATCTACTTTTGAGTTTTGACCAATTAGTTTATATAATTGTTCAGGCAATGGCATTGGGATTGCAGCTTGTGAGTGCCTACTGGTTTTACAAGATCGTGAGAATGGTCAGATTCAAACTCAACAACAGATCTACATTGAAGAATAATTAGTCTTAGCTAAGAATCACAAAAGGAAAATTAGATCAAATTTCTTAGTCCAGATTGTATCTTGGGTGCAGTGATATTGCAAATAAAAACAATGCCATAAACTTTGCAATGAACTCTGTATTCAGCAAACTGAGCTGCAGATATCATGTTTAAGTAGATGAAAATCACTAGATTCCATATTTTTCAATGTGAGTACATTAGCATTAGCAACAAAACAAGGCASAGTGAAGAACCGTCCTTTTAAGCTCACAAGAAGGAGGAATAAATAAGAAAAGAAGAATAGCCCGGGAATATTCATCATCTCCCATCTACGATCACATATGACAAGTTCCTATAGTTCTAAGATAAGAACCAATGATACCAGGAAGAGCTCAATTTTGAGTACATATCTGAAGATTTCATCAGTTGCCAGGAAGGAAAATGTTATGCTTGCAAAGATTTTGACTACGAAGAGTAAATAACATGACTTCACTCCTTTCCGAAATCAGCACTGTAGTGTGCACTGGACTCGAGTTTCTTCGCTTCGTTTAGCTTTCGTACTGCCTGAACACCAGAAGATTATGGAAAGTGAGTATTGGGAAGAGAGAGCCTTATCTCTGTAGGGATCCAATCCATTGCAACACGATAATTAATATGCTAAAGAATGCTAGAGAAGAAGGGGAAAAAAAAGTCACCTTCATGAAATCTTCATGGATGACATAGTCACGTTCTGCACGGATAGCTGACATTCCAGCTTCAGTGCAGACATTCCGCAAATCAGCCCCATTAAATCCCTAGACAAAGGAGAGAATCAAGCACTAAAGGTTATGGACAAAGCTATTAAAAGAAATCAAATAGACAAAAAGAACTGCAGGGTTACCTCTGCAAGCTTTACAACAGCTTCATAGTCTATCTCACCATGCTTGGCAATTCCAGCAGCATGAATCTTCAGGATCTCCATTCTGGATTGCTCATTTGGCAGCGGAATCTCTATTTTACGGTCCAATCGCCCTGGTCGAAGAAGTGCAGGGTCAAGAACATCTGGCCTGTTCGTAGCCATTATCATTTTGACCTACAGTACCAGTAACAAATTAATCTGTTGTGTTAGGCAAACAAAAAAGCCTGTAAAAAGATTAAGAAACAGAACGAAAGAAGTCAGACTAATGAGACAAACAACTAAGTCACAGCATGGTCGGAGAGGATCAAGATCTAACACCTCATACTACGTCTTTGCTCGTCATATGATCTTATTTCATACAGGTAAGATAAAAACAAAGTCAGAGAAAGAATGATCGAGTTCTTGATATATGGCCAATGAATCCATTTTTAATTTCCTCTCCATCCTTACTGCTGCTAGGAGGATAGCCCTCTCTGCCACCTTGGAAATTTAGTATACAGAGCAGAGAAAACAGTTTTTAAGTTTAAGACTGGCAGAGAAATTAAAAGCTAGCTTATCCACTCCACTCTTCAACTAATCCTGTACAAGAAATGTCTAACTTGGTAATATTTAATAATAATAAAGAACTTAGGGAAAATTACAAACATGGCAAAAAAATATAGCTTATAGCATAACTTTTTATACACAACAGACCTTCTCAAAAAATAAAAAATAAATAACAATTAAGGAACAACAAAATTGCCAACTTGAAAAAAATTCTTGCAATGCCACCTTAGAAAGATATAAAAAGCGCTACTACTTTGTATGATATTAATGGCTTAGATGGGTCATAAGTGGCCAACGAGCCTTCAATCCATTGTTTTTCTTATTGTTTGGCCCTCTGACTACTAGGCCAACCCATACATGATAAACACGAGAGTACATTTATCTCCCTTGCAAAGTCAAACGATAAACATAGTTCAGGGTCATTTATTCGAAAGTAATTGGAATACCTGAGAATCTAGGTGCCCAATATTTTCAGATAACTTACTTGATCTGCCATATTTGTGTAATGCCATACAATTGCATGCTATTTCAATAATCCTATGATATACTACTCTTTAAACTTAAAATACCCCTCATTTCGTAAGGCACCAATGTTCATAGGATCCTTGGATATCTGAACAGCCAAGGAGCCAAAGCATTTGGACATACCTTACCAAGCTGATCAAAACCATCAAGCTGATTAAGTAACTCCATCAATGTTCGCTGGATTTCACGATCGGCACTTGTTCCCTCACTGAATCTCCGCCCACCAATGGCATCAATCTCATCCATAAAGATTATGCAGGGCTAATGACATGAAGGAATGGTGCACGAATTATGAATCAATTTTTTTTTTGTAACTAATCATACAATGAGAAGTTCATACCAACTCAGAACATACCTGGTGATCGCGTGCATATCCAAACATTTCTCGTATTAACCTTGCACTTTCTCCAATGTACTTGTCAATTATGGCACTTGACACAACCTACACTTCAATAAAGAGTAGAGAGAAGCCCGTAGTTATATTTTAGTTGGGGAGGAGGGGGAAGGTTAAAGCCATTCCAGTACATGGATAAAAATCAACCTTTAAGAAGTTGGCATCTATGTTGCTCGCAATTGCTCTTGCTAACAATGTCTTGCCAGTACCAGGAGGACCATAGAGAAGCACACCCTTTAAATGAAAAGGGAAAAAATAAAGTGAGGAAAAGGGGAGGAAGTATCCAATATAATGCAAGAAATAGATATTGCAGAGACTATTAACTATAAAACCACAATTTGGTCCCCTTAACTGTATGCTTTAGAGAGAAAGAGAGAGAGTACCTTGGGTGGTTTGATGCCAACCCTAAGGAAAAGTTCAGGATTCATGAGAGGTAGCTCAATAGATTCTCTCAATTCTCTAATTTGATCAGATAAACCACCCACAGCAGAATAACTAACATTACCAGGATCTTCATGCAACATATTATACACAACTGGATCGACCTATCAGATCAAATGAGATTAAAAAATTCAGGACAATCATACATTACAGCCTAAAGGACACTACCTATTTCTTATTTTTATTTACAATTAATCCAACTTACTTCGCGTGGAAGAGCCCTCATAATGGTGAGTGTTGTCATATCAAGAACTACTCTAGTACCAGACGTCAATTTTTCCTTATCCACCTTACTGCGGCATCCAACCACATATCTTGGTCCACTGCTTGCTTTGACAATCACTGAAATCACAAAATCAGCGATACTCCAACATTATCAACCAATTCAACAGAATTTCCATATCAAAAAGAAATACAAGGAATAAGGAAAAGAAGTACATCGTTCATTGTCAAGTGGCCTGAGAACTTCTCCAATAATCTGCCCAACGCTTTGAAGAGACTTCAAATCATCTTCCGTCTTGTTGAATTCCTTCTTTGCAGCTCGTAAATTCTCCCTCACTGGAAACATAAATTGAACATAATCTTTCAAGCATCCGTAAAAATTAAAATAAACAATGATCTCAGCTTCTGTTACAAAATGGACACAGTTTCAACTCATACAGCAAGATGCAGCAATCTCATAGTCTATGAAACGGACATTGCATAAGACTCACAACCTATTACGACTCAAATAAGCACAGATTCATCGGGACGACAAAAAACGGAATTCACACAGTAAAGGAAACGGGAATAGATTATAAAATTGGGTATCGAGGGACAGACGAGATCGGACTCTGGCGTCGGACTCTTTGTGCTGAAGGAGTTTGTTGCGGTACTCATTGACCGCCGTGAGACGTCGAGCGGCTTCTTCTCCGTCGGCCATTTTCGGTGCTCGCAGGTTGTGGTCGGAGCTGGGACTCGCTTCTCCGATTTATCTGAGAAAGCTTGGGAAGCAAGAAGCTTTAGATGCTCCCACTGAGGACATATTGGTCATTTGGTTCTTAAAAACAGGGAAAAAAAATATGTTTTGAGGCGCATAACAGAAATGGGAAGTAATTAGGTTTATGATTAAGGAATTTTTGAAAGGGAATGAGAAAAAAAAAATGAAATTCGGTATATATTTGTAGGTTCATTTCGTTGTTTCTTTTGAGGTTAATTTTAGTGGGTTAATAAAAAAGAAGATTAAGAAGTTCAAAATAAAAAAGGAGAAAAATTGTTGAGTATTGGCTGAGAAAAAATAGGAGAAGAATTAGATGGAAGAAGGAAAAAAATTGGGGAACAAAATACATACAAAAGATTTTGATTTGGGGTTTCTTGAGGTTTAATTGAAATGGTTTGGTGGCTGTTTAAATGAAGAGATAGATCAGGCTGTTAAATGGATATTTGGTTTTTATTTACTGCAGTGTACGTTAGAATTAAGTTAATTAATTTAATATTAGATTGTGATTTTTAGGTGAAGTTGAAGCAGCATTTAGCTCAAATTTACTTTCTACGAGGGATTTATTTTATAAAATATTTTTTAGGTATCTACAAGTTAGAGTTTCAAGAAATTATATATTAAGTTTAATTTTGTAATTTCTGTTGAGAATCAAAGTAATTATTTAGTTTGAAAATTTAGAAATGTTTTATAATTTATGAGAAATGGTGAAGCTTATGAAATGTTGTTAGAATGATTTGAGAAGTTTGTGAAATATTCTTATAAAGAAGAATTTTTATGAAAATTATGAGTTTTATTATGAGATATGTTGGCAGGTGAACTATATTCAATACTTCTCATCGTTTTAAGATGCTTTTATAGGCCAATTTGAACAATTTTTACTACTTAAATGCATTAAACAAAAATCAACAAAGTGAGTTCCTGCAATATAATGTTCATCAAATCCAGATTGTACATTGGGAGCAGTAATATTACAAATAGAGACAGTGCATAACCTTTGCAATCAATTTATCAACTGTGTAGTTTGTAAACTGGGGAGCAGATATCATGTTTTGGTAAATGACAGTCACAGTGGACAAATTCATCTCTCGGCTTGGAGAAAAGAAATCTAAGATAACAAAAATTGCCATATTTTCATGGATATTCATCATTTCCCCATCTGCGATCAGATACAGCAAGTTAGATACAAGATAAGCACCAGTGATACCGGGAATAGCTCGATTTTGCATGCGTCCAAAGACTCTCATCGTTTCCCCAGGAAGGGAAGTGTTATGCTTGAAGAGATTTTGGCTGCTAAGAGAAATTACATGACTTCAGTCCTTTCCAAAATCAGCGCTGTAATGTGCACTGGACTCGAGTTTCTTCGCTTCGTTTAATTTTCGTACTGCCTGAATATCGCAAGATGTGAAAGTGAGTATGAGGAAACATTCTAATTGAATGCTAGAGAAATTAAAAAAAGAAACAACCTTCATGAAATCTTCATGGATGACATAGTCACGTTCAGCACGAATAGCTGCCATTCCAGCCTCAGTGCAGACATTCCGCAAATCAGCTCCATTAAATCCCTAAATAAATTACAGTTTCAAACACCCATTAATTATAATAATAACTTGTTATAATTAAATATAACTTTTTTTTATAATTGAATGAAATTATATGGGATAAAGTTAAATAATACTTGTTATAATTAAATATAACTTTTTTATAATTGAATAAAATTATATGGGAGAAAGCTACTAAACGAAATAAATAAAATACAATAAAGAACTAGTAGGGTTACCTCTGCAAGCTTTACAACAGCTTCGTAATCAATCTCACCATGCTTGGCAATTCCAGCAGCATGAATCTTAAGGATCTCCATTCTGGATTGCTCATTTGGCAGAGGAATCTCTATTTTGCGGTCCAATCGCCCTGGTCGAAGAAGTGCAGGGTCGAGAACATCTGGCCTGTTTGTAGCCATTATCATTTTGACCTACGGTACCAGTAAAAAATGAATCATCTTTGGCTAGGCAAACAATAAGCTGGTAAAAGATTCGTCATAACATGGCCGGGAACAATATCTAAGACCTCATTTTTCTGTCTATGTTAGTTATATGACCTCTTAAAATCACACAGGTAAGATAATAACAAAATTAGAAAAAGAATGAACAGATTCTTGGTCCCCACCCACCACCTTGGAATTCAGTCCACGGAGAAGAGAATACAATTTTTATCATATATAAATTACCAAAAAGAATCCTACATAAATATCATAATCAGATTAACCATGAGATGAAAATTTATAAAACCCATCATTTTGATGGGCACCTGGATACCAATGTTCAAAGGTATCCATGGATATCAGAACATCTAAAGATGCCTTCAAAACAAGTGTTGGACAAAAAGTAATTGCCGGATTCCACCTGAGATGAAAATTCAAGACACCCCATTATATTGTTGGGTACCTGGATAATGTACATAGGATCCTCTGGATATCCTAGATCCAAATATACCTTTAATTTTAAAACTAAAATGTTTTCCCACAAAACAAAGGGTCAGAAAATCCAAACATACCTTACCAAGCTGATCAAAACCATCAAGCTGGTTAAGTAACTCCATCAATGTTCGCTGAATTTCACGATCTGCACTTGTTCCCTCGCTGAATCTTCTCCCACCAATGGCATCAATCTCATCCATAAAAATTATGCAGGGCTAAGCACAGAAAAGAATAGAACGTGAATTATGAATCACTAATTATGTATAGAATCATACAAAGAGAAGTTCAATCCACATTAGAGCTTACCTGGTGATCACGTGCATATCCAAACATTTCTCTTATTAGCCTTGCACTTTCTCCAATGTACTTATCAATTATGGCACTTGATACGACCTATACTTCAATAAAGAGAAGAGAGAAGCTCATAGTTACATTTTAGTTTTGGAGGAGAGGAAGCTTAAAGTCATTCCAGTACATGGGAAGGATTTAACCTTCAAGAAGTTGGCATCTATGTTGCTTGCAATTGCCCTTGCTAACAATGTCTTGCCAGTACCAGGAGGACCATATAGAAGCACACCCTTTAAATGAAAGGGGAAAAAATAATGTCAGCAGAAGGGGGAGGAAGTATGCAGTATAATGCAAGAGATAGATAGAAATACAGTTAACTAGAAAACTACAATTAGGTAAACCCATCAACTGGATGCTTTATAGATAGAAAGAGTACCTTGGGAGGTTTGATGCCAACCCTAAGGAAAAGCTCAGGATTCATGAGAGGTAGCTCAATGGACTCCCTCAATTCTCTAATTTGATCAGATAAACCACCCACAGCAGAATAGCTAACATTTCCAGGATCTTCATGCAACATATTATACACAACTGGATCTACCTATCAGATCAAATGAGATTAAAAAAATTCAAGACAATCATGCATTAGAGCCTAAAGGACACTACCTATTTCTTCTTTTTCCTTCATAATCATTGAGAATAAACAATTAATCCAACTTACTTCACGTGGAAGAGCCCTCATAATGGTGAGTGTCGTCATATCAAGAACTACTCTAGTACCAGACGTCAATTTTTCCTTATCCACCTTACTGCGGCATCCAACCACATATCGTGGTCCACTGCTTGCTTTGACAATCACTGAAATCACAAAATCAGCGATACTCCAACATTATCAACCAATTCAACAGAATTTCCATATCAAAAAGAAATACAAGGAATAAGGAAAAGAAGTACATCGTTCATTGTCAAGTGGCCTGAGAACTTCTCCAATAATCTGCCCAACACTTTGAAGAGACTTCAAATCATCTTCCGTCTTGTTAAATTCCTTCTTTGCAGCTCTTAAGTTCTCCCTCGCTGAAAATAAAAGATTAGACGTAATCTTAGTAGCTTCCTTAAAATAAACAAGAATTACAGCTTCTGTTACCTTTTACCACGTAACGAAATACCAACTTACAAACTCACAGTCTAAGCAATATGGAAATCGAGAAAGGAGAAATGACGAACACTAACCATCAATAACACAACCCATTCCCCATGACTTCCTACAAAGTATCAAACTCACATGACGTTTTCTAATTTCCAATTTTCCATAATGACCGTTCCCAAACTTCTCTGCTTTTCTTCTCCAGGACCATACCTATATCATATCACACTCCACCTTCAAACACTTCCACTATATAAAAGGATTTTAAACACCAAAAGTTTAGAACTATCACACTCCACCTTAAAAACCTTCCCTAGGACTTCTAAATGCCAAAAATTATAATTCGGGGATCGGAATTAACAACCTAAGACTGATATGCTGCAATCTCATAGTCTATGGACTGGCCATTGCAGAAAATTGAAAGCATATTACTACTCAAATCAGTACGAATTCTTCGAGAGACGACTAAAACCGGAGTTCACAGAGAGAAAAGAAAAAACAACAGGAGTAGATTGCAAAATTGGTTTGCGAGTGACAGACCAGATCGAACTCTAGAGTCGAGTTCTTTGTGCTGAAGGAGTTTCTTGCGGTAGTCATTGACCGCCGTATGACGGCGCGCGGCTTCTTCCCCGTCGGCCATCTTTGCTGTCGTGGTTGTGATCGGAGCTCGGTGTCGATCGGAATCGGTCTTTCTGGCAAAGCCCTAAATACTCGGCAGTTGTTTCTTTACCAGAACGATGGGCTGCGATTTATAAATAAATAGTTTAAAAATGTTACTCAAATGTGTCCAAGTCTCACTTTCATGTAAACGTCAACGGAAATATCCATAAAATATGGATGTCGACCGAATATTTCTAAAAAAGTTATATGGGTAAAAAACTTGAAAATAATCGTTCCACAATTTTTAAACAAGTTAGAAATAGATAAATATAAATATCATTATCAAAATTATATTGGTAAAATTTGGTTGATATTTTTATATTTTAATTGATTTTTTAATTATATTATATAAATTCATTGATACATTGATATATATTTACTACTGTGATTTCACTTGTTTTGGTGGTTTTTAATTTAGTAGTTGTTTTTCAAAAAGTTTTACTTTAATAATTTATTTTGACATTTTCAATTATATATTTTTATTCGTAAATATTAAATTTAATTAATGAAAAGTTAAATTTACACGAGATAATTAGCAAAAATTTAAATGGATGATTATGTCACCTTGAAAATGAAAAATAAAAAATTCAGTTTGTTTCTACAAATTTTGAATGAATTAGAAACTGTTATCTCAAATGGMTTTGGTTTTTTTAGTTTATTGAAAATRGATAGGTTGAATTCAAAATTCTAACATTGTAAACATCGTTGACATGAYATGTCTATAAATTTGTATCTTACAACTTTAAAACGCTAAAAAAAATACCACATATAATACTATTGAAACTATAAGTTTGATGTACTCGAACTACTCGTAACACATTAAAAAATGCTATTGTTAATCTTTAAGTTTTGAGAAAATGCTATAGAAAATATTTTATAAATTATTATTTTTTTTAAATGTTTTTATCACTTTCTAAACTACACTTTAAACTCTTATGACACGAGGATATTTTATCAATAATAAATAGTATTAAATATTATATAAATTACATATCTCAATAACMATTGGCATATATCTTCGGATTTTGTACTAAAAAATATATGTATAAGATTAAATATTACAAGTTTGAAATAATAATAAATAAGAAAAGAAAACAATTACTTTTCATTTTAAAAGTACGACTAAAAAAAGTATTATTGAAAGTTTATAACAAAATGAGATTTACTTAATTTATTTTTTCAATTATCAACGTTCCAGAAGAATTTCAACGAGTGTTGCATTTTTCATCGGTTGGMAGTTCTTCGGAGATTTTGTCTTTAATCTTTATAGTTTGTGTAACCTGTACAGTTTCTTCCTTGTCCTTCCACCGTCGCCTCAATTCAATTCCGCCGGCTCCGGCCAATAGAGCGACGGAGGGAACCGGATGTTGGCCAGACGAATTCCTTCTGTGGCAATTCATCTCCCGTAAGTTTTGCCATGGCGTCGTGGACCTCCCCATTATAACAATGCGAGGACGGCACTTGAATCCCACTCATTGGTCCCTTTTTGCCCTAGAACTTGTTTAGTCTCCCTCTGTTCTGCTTTTCAATTATCCTCCCAAGTTGCAGATTCAATTCACGCTGAAGAATCCTCGAAGCGCGTAAGATCAATAATTTATAGATTGTTTCCCTTCTTTAAGGTTATTGGTTAATCACTCAGAACCCAGAACTGAACCCAAAGCTTAAGTTATTCTCTCCGTTGCGGGCTTCAAAAATTAGCACAAACCCACCTATAAGTGATTGTGTATATTAATACGAATGGCATTAGAGTGTGTGAGCTTGAAAATTAGCATAAACCCAGCATGTTTTGTTTTGGCTTCAGTTAGACTACTTCTCTTACTGGTGCCTCTATTGGATTCAACTGCAAGGCTTGTAATCTCTGTTGTACTTGATATCGGATCAGCATTTAAGTTATAGCAGGTTGTTAAATCGTAAGATGAAAATATGAGGTGTATTCTATCAGTTTTTCATGGTTTAGGATGTGTAGTTTTTGAACTTTGACTGGCATCCTTGTCTTTTGCTCTACGTGTTTGCAGGGTCCCCTGAAACCTGGGTTGTATCTGGTTGGGACGCCAATGGGTAATCTTGAAGATATCACCCTACGGTAATGAAAGTTTGGCAACCAGCACCAACACTGTTATCTTTCCTCTTTCAGAGGATACAAGGCACTCAGGAAAGTTGCTTCATCGTTTCAATATTAGAACCCCCCTTGTAAGTATTTTAAGGCTTTTATTTACTCATATAATAGTTTTATTTTCATTTTTCATTAATGAAGAATTTTAGATTGCAGCTGAGCTTTCACAAATTCAATGAGTCTCACAGAGAGCAAAGAGCAAACAGTGTTGAAGAGGTTAAAACAGGGTGAAATTGTTGCCCTAATTAGTGATGCCGGGACACCAGGCATTAGTGATCCTGGTACTGAGTTGGTGAGCATGCTAAGCAATTTAAACCCAGTTCTTTCTTGATTGTTCTGTTAAGAATCTATCACTTCTAAGGTCTCCATTTGGTGGGCTCATTTTCAATTTGATTCATTGATAGATTAAACACTAGCATTTCATAAAAATTTGAAACATTCATGATTTTCCTCCCTTAATATTTTAATGGTTTAATCATGGATGATATTGATGTTATTAATACAATTGGACCATGTGAATATAGGTTAGATTATGTGTCAATGAAAACATACTCGTTGTTCCCATTCCTGGGCACTCCGCTGTAGTTGCTGCTCTTTCTGCCTCTGGCTTGTCAACTGCTGAGTTTACATTTGGTAAATTTCCTATGGATATTCGTAGTTGTGCTGTTAGGACATCTTTCTTTGAGCTATTTGGCTCTATGGCTACCATATTTAGGTACTCTACAATTTATTAATATGTATATATGTACAGTTGGATTTGTTCCTAAGCCTTCTGCATGCAGAAGAGAGAGGCTGATGGGTTTCAGCAAACGAGGAAGCAACTCAAATATTCTATGTTCCCCCTCATAAACTTAAGCAGTTTCTCGAGGAAACTTCATCATTATTTGGTGAATCAAGGTACTTCGTATATGTCTATCTCCAATATATTGCACTAATATTCTTTCAAAGTCTAATGAGTGTAGTTCCTTCCACTTTGGCTATCTGCTTCAATCTATATAATTCAGTTACTAATAACATTCTGGTTTGGAACCTTTGAAGGAAGATATTGTATATGATTCCCCGTTCATCATGATTGTCTTAATTAGAACATTCTATTTTCTGTGTAAAAATCTTGTTAGGGAGATGTTATGAGGTAATTGGGTTGTTCAAGTGCTTGAAGGGAATAAATAAACTCCCCCCTCCCCCTTTCCCTTATTCTGGAGGTAAGATTGCAACGTGCTTTTCCTTCATTTGATGGAAATGTTATATCAGAGTCATCATATCTATTTTACTATCGGTTGCATTATCTAACCATAGTGGCTTGTTTGTGTGTTTTTCCGTAACTATGTTCTATAATATTGTACATGTGCTTCTAGTTTCAGATAGTCAGGAACTCATTTATGATCCGAATTTCTTTAATGGAGGAGCAGACTTGTCTTCTGTTAGTAGTTGGTTTGCTTATTTGCCAACTTCGTGAATGTATTTGTCTCTATAATTGTTTTGCAGTCGGTGTGTTGTAGCTCGTGAAATGACGAAGATACATGAGGAGGTAATTTCATTCTGTCATTCTGTTTTGGCATCTTTAGTTGGCAGGATTCCCATACCCTTGCTAACTGGCGAGCATCATATTCTATTCATCCAAAATTTCTTCTGTGCGCTGTTACTTAATTCCTTTATATGATATCGTTCAACCAAATTCTTCTTTGCTCTTTTGAGTTCCTTGGBGTTGGACTTTCAATTTTTTTTCTCAAAATATTGAGTTTATGAGTTTAAGCATCAAATAATTTTAAAAGTAAAAGTAATTAAAAATGTTTTTTTTTTAATGTTATTTGGTACAGTAACAAGATATTACYTAAATGGCTGCTAAACAAGTATTTACGTACAGGAAGTGGATGTTTTAGAACAGGCTGCTCAACATAAATGTGATTGGTTGTAAATTGCAACTGAAAAAGTTAATTTCAGTGTATTTGGAATCCTAAGTTAGAAGGAAAATGGAAGATGTTTGGAGTAAACTGTCTCTCTTCCTTTTTCTTTTCCAGCTGTTACAAGAATCGGAAACTAAGGTTCGTAATGCTTTATTCCTAATCTCTCTTTTTTCACCTGTTATATGAACCCATGCTTCCTCCCTGCTTTTCTTATACTTTAATTCCTTTTAATAGAAAATTTGTGGTTTCTCATCCAAAAGCTAGAAAGTTGAAATTTCATTTTCATAATTGTTGTGAAATACATTGTAATCTTTTTCTTTTGGAAGATTTGATTCCTGTACTTGGGGGAGCTGGGGCCATACTATCATTTAGAACATGTATGATGAATGACCTTATATTTGTAGTTGATTTTGTCTCCAATCTACTTTCTTTCAATCATTAAACTACCTTTATGTGAAGCCTTTTTTTTTTGTTTGTGGTGGATACATAATTGTTATAATTAGAGATATCCTTGGGATAATGTAATTTGTAATAATGCGGTCTCAAATTATGGATTTCAAAATCTCGGTGTGTTACTTAGTAACAAGTATGRTGATATGATACCGACAGTTTTGGCAGGGCACACTGGCTAAAGCTAAAGAATTTTTCTCGTTGCACCAAACAAAGGGCGAAAYTACGCTGTTGATTGAAGGAAATCTAGATTTATCAGAATTGCAGTTGGAAAAGGAGTTGGGAGAATCAATCTCTAGTGGGCACAGGCTTTCTATGGTAAGGGCTTAAACTGGACTATAGAATAAAAGATACTTTTATGAACAGTGATGCACTTTTAAGGCTTGGTAGATTTTCTCATTAAAGGAAAGCATAAGCTGAACCTAATAGACAAAATGAGTGTTTTACCTTGGTTTCAATTGGTTCTTGAATTTTTAGGTTTATTTTATATTATATCTAGGGTAGTTCTTGAACTTTAGTCCTTGCTATTATTTTGCTGTTAAGTATTCATTGATGGATGGCGTGAGTTCGAATATGTATGCTAATGTGCTGATGTGAATATGTATTGAGTTATATATCTGCTAAGGTGGATATTAGATGAGCCAAATATTGATGTAGTTGCGTTGTTAAAGTTAGGAGAGTAAAATAGATGTCTTGAAAGTTCAAGATCAAAATAAGATTTAACTTTGTTCTGAATTCTTGGTTGTGACGAAACTTTATTTGTATGAAGGCCGTCAAATTGGTTGCTAGCACAACATCAGCAAACCGTCTATTCAATTGCATTGCGAAAATTCGGGAATCAACTTGGAGCAGATAACGATCCTGGCAAATAATGACTGTAGCATGCTTGCTAGAAGTGTAAGTACCGCTGATGTCCTTATTTTTACAAATGACAGATGACTAATTGGTATAAACTGTTTTAAGTTATCTTCTCAAGAACAACTTGCAGTTTCCATCGTTTCTAATTATTTCTTATGTTTATCCTTGGATTCATAAGATATCATCGGGGTCGGTGGGAAAAGATGAAAGTATTTTTGCTGTAGTAGTGGCTTTCTACCTCTGAGATATCCTGAATATGCATTTCTGTTTCAAATGCTCTCTTACTCGTTAAATTTGCTTGTTTGCCCCCTTTTACTTTGTATAAAATTACAATTTGAACTTTGAAGTGGCTCCAAYATTCTGGAGTTGTCCGGAATATGAGGTTTAAACATAGTTTGCTCTTAAGATAAGATTAGTTACGGTGTATTTAAATTCGTCTTTGTTTTTGAACTCGTTACAGTACTGTTTTATTAGTCAATTATATGAAAACCAATAAGGCTAGAGTAGACATATTTGAAACAATACATTTATGGGATACATAAGTTGAGGGAGTTCAATAATTAAACTTGCATCAGTAAAAAAATTGTAATAAGGGGAAAGAACAGTGAAAATTGGCAGGTTGTGAAAAGGCTTTTGGACTTGGAAGTTGGAACTGAACCCATCAGATCAGAAGGCAGAGGCAAAGTGATCTGACGGTCAGAATCACAGCCTCAGCAATGCCTTACATGTGCAACATTTTGAATCTTTTGATCATGGAGGACCCCAGCGATTCTGCTGCAAATCCACCCTCCTTTTTCTCTGCCCTCGTGTTGCACTGTAAAAAGGAAAAAGGGCCCTCTTCTTTTAAACAACGTTTGATTCTCTGCAGTCTGCTCTTTCTACTTTTACTATATACAAATATTATCCTTTCCTACTGCATTAACAGTATGTGCATACTGCTCCCATTGTTGCTGTTTTTTTCCTCTTGACAATCAGGTCTCATGATGTCACCGGGATGCTGCTGCCGCTGTGTTTACCGAATTGGAGGGCAGGAGCGGGAATATCCTCTGCCCGGTGGCTAGAATGTGCCCAGGATCGAACTTCATTTTCCTCCTCCGAAACTCAGCCCAATTATCGCCAAAGTGGTCCGCCCACTCCTCCTCCTTCGTGTAGTGAGGCAGGTACTGTTTCACTTCAATCCCCTCCTCGGAACAGAATGCTAAGATCTGATCGTTCTGATTGCTCAAATACTCCAAGGACTGTGTCTCCTCCCCATTGTCCAGCGCCGATCGCAGCAATGCCACCAGGTAGAATACGTCCTCGTCCGGTGTCACAGCGGAGCTCCTCCTGTCCCACCTACACATGAAAAACGCCGTCAATTGGCAAACAGATTTGATGGTTTTTGAGCTGATCAATGGGACCCAAAGATGGAAGATTGGAAACTGAGTACATAAACTGGACAGGAACATGATCCCCGTCAGTGGGTCCACTGGAGAAGATCTTCTGACACCAGAATCTTCTCCCTTGGACGATCTCCACCGTCCGATTTCCCAATTAAATAAAAAAAAAACCRAAGTATTATTTATCAATCCAACCTGGCTAGGCCTCCATCTCATGTCTTATGTGGACTTTTTTTAAAAAATATATAATAACTTTACATTGGTACCCCTATTTCTTAAAATTAGACAAACAACCAATGGAATTAAATCGTTACATGTTTATTTTTATAAAAAAATTGATGTTTTGACATTTCTCTCTTTTAGTTGTCAACATTTAACGGTGTCAAATATTTTTTTTTTCACTCTCTCAATATAAAATTATATGTTGGCGGTGGGCCCTCCCAAGTGGATTCTCTGACTCATCCAAATGCATACAGCATRATATCTTTCCCATGACCCACTTTTTACCTTACAAAAAATTGTAGGGACTGTTTGAAAGCTTTCAAATTTTGGAAATTATGTTGTGGACATATGGGGAGAGGCTTAAATTATAAACCCTCCCCTTTCCCTATATGTTTATAATAAATAAATAAATAAATAATAATA